CTCCTATTCCATCATTTGTCTAGTTCATTGTCTTCTTGCTCTCCAGAAAGAAACAACCTTCTCCAAAAGACAAAAGTGGTTTAAAAACCCTCAAAATTTCTGTAGCTCACTTAAAATTTCACTCATGTTTTCAGCAGAGGCATCTCCAGACTACATCTGCAAAATCCTCGGAGAGATGTTGTTTGAGCAAACTACATGTCCATTCATCTTCTTTGGGTTTCCAGGCATACAAAATTCTCAATTTTGCCTCCAGAGGTTTTCCAGAGCTTACCCAAATATTTTTCACATGTAAAAGTAACCCTCTTCTAAAATCTTCCCTCTGTAAATAAACTTTATGAACAGCAGATTGTCATTGTGTTTGAAAACAGGAAGCAAGTATAAGAGCTTCTCCTTTAGGGAGATAAACTCCTTCCTGCCTCTCCAGTTACCCCAGCTGGTCTTCTATTTCTGAAAATGAAACAGACTTTCTGCATATACACAGACAAAACTCCTCTGTAAGAGTCAGAACTTTTCAATAATTGCCAGTTTTGACAGAAGTCAACTCAAAAAAAATAGAAATGAAGCTGTCTCATAATGTAAAAAACATCCTGTTTCAGCATTTTCAGATTCTTTTACTTCAAAACAACTTTTTGAATACTTTATACTTACTAACCAAAGCCTAAGCCTTCTTATTTTTTTTTCTTAAAATCAGAAGTTTGAGTTGTTCTGAAATACTAATTTTATAAAAAAAATTACTGTCATTTTTTTATCCAACATTTGTGGTAGAATCTTGAAGCACATGGTACTAACAACATAATCTGCTAATTTTCTTCTCCCAAGATGGAGAGAGCACTGTTTAAAATTAAGGTTACAGAACAAGTTATCAGTAAAACTAAAATTTTCCAGTAGACACAGATATATCCTTCTGACTGGCAAAAGCTGTTGTAATTCATGTCAGCCAAAAGAGCCAAGTAGGAGCAAGAGTTGCATGCTGAACAGCATGACTTCACATCAAAAGATAGCAAAATATGTACCTGTCTTATCTGGTGGAAGACCTCTTTTGCACTGCAACAATCCTCCTCAAGCTATTTACTTCAGTTTTGCAATGGACTCTGGCATCATGCTGTGAGACCTAATTATACCAGAGGGACACTTTCAAACACTTAATAGCACAAAGGAATAAAAAGCATTTTAAACATAGTTCATAAAAGCATTCTTGCTTCAAATATTGTGGTGTTTTTTTTTTTTTTTTCAAATATATGACTCACTCTTTAAGATCTCTAGTTATCTGTGTTAGTGACACTCAATTCTGACACTTCCTAGATACGAAGGGATGCTCTCTCTAACTCTAATAGTTTTCCTTTTTGGGTTCTACAGTATTACATGCACTTACAAGAATTTTTATGTATACACAAATATATGCAGAAACACTGCTTATGCAGATTTGTCTTCTCTCAGGTTACGTTCAAAGTTTAGCTTGTGCATTTTGCTGCCCCTGCATTAGGATCCCATACATCATACAACATCTATGTTATCAAAGTGCTTAAGTTTCCATTCTCAAGACAAAGAGGAAGAGATGAAAAAGAATGAAAAAAAGAAAAGAGAAGAAAAAAAGAGAAATAAAAAGAGAAAGGAAAAGGAAAAGGAAAAAAAAAGGAAAGGGAAAAGAAGACCTTCCTCTTGAGAATTCTGAGATTTACTTACCAACCTAAAATGCATTAGAACTGGCTGGGTTGGATTGGGTTGAAGTGGACTTGGCTTTGCAGAAGAGTGATGTTTTCACTACTTAAGACTCTTACTGCAGTTATTCTCACATTTTCTGTGTCATCCTTCACACCAATTTGCTCTGCGGCACGTTTGATCATGGCTGGCTGCCAGAAGCCCACCCAACTGCTCTCTCATCCCCCTCCTCAAGAAAACTGGGAGAGAAAAGAAAATGGAAAAGCTCATGGGTTTAAGTAAAGAGTGAGTGATTACTTATCAATTACTACAATGGTGAAATCAGAAGTCACTTGAAAAATTAATTTACTGCACATTAAGAATAGAGTTGGATGGTGAGAAACAAAGGTAAACACTAAAATAACTTCCCCCACTCCCTGTTCATCCAAGATTGTACTTGATTCCTTCACTCCTGCTGTATTCATCCAGACTAGCCTATTTGTACTTTAAATCAAGCTGATTTCCTCTGACAAATGTGGTAAGAGGCTGCTTGTGAGGTAATCTAGACTATAAATAAACAAATAAATGAACAGATCATACTGTGGCTACCATTCAAGTGGAGCAAAGATAAGGCCTACTTTTCTGTGATTAAAAAGTTTTACCTCTTTACCAATTATTCTATAGTTAATATTGAGCTCCTTTATTTCATTGCCTTTATTTCACTGGCCTTTCTGACCCAAACAGCTAAGAGAAGTGTGTTATCTCATGAAACAAAGTCACACAAGTACTGTCTATCATTTGTGAACATCCTTCTTTTTGACACAGCAGACTGTTGGCAAAGAGTTAACTGCCTGCTGACATTGAATTTTTTGAGGCTATACTCTTGTTAATATTTTTTCACAGTTGTACTATTAGTTTAACAGAAAGAAGGAGATTTGTAATACTATCTTTTCACCACATGAAAAGTTTCTGTGCGGTTACATCTTCTGTACTCTCCTCAGCAACCATAATTATATGGCACTTGAGCCTCAGGAAACACACATTCCAATGAGACAAACACAGAAGTCTCTCAAAGACAGCCCTAAGCCCTGTAATAACTGCTCTAAAAAAGAAACAAACAAAAACTAATTCAAAAAATCTAGCATTTTTTCTCTTCACCAAAACACTATACTGGGAAAATAAAAAAAGAACATTCATGTGCACTTGGTTGTTATAACCATACTCAAACTTTTGTGTCAGTCCCATGACAGTGCCTAGACCAGGAGGCCACAGAAAAAAACCTTTTATAATCATAAAGGTATTTTGGGTTGGGTTTTTTGGCGATGGACAGCTAAATTACTCTTGATTCTTAGGTTCTAGATGCTACAATGTCACACATTATAAGCACATTATTCTATTGATTATGTTTTTTATAGGCTAGCAAGGGATATTGACTCTTCTTTCTCTGTTTGTCTTAAGGCGGCAGGGGATATAACTTGCTTTTCTGAAAGCAGATGGGAGTAATGGAACTTTACAATTATCAAAGAACTGTCTTGATTTTTTTGTCCAGATGAACAGTTCTGCTGGACACTGCTAGTGATTAAAATGTCCTAAAATATTCACTTCTTAGGGATAATCTTTACAGCTCAGCTTGGCACACAGATGACATCTAGCTGTTTAACCAGGCAAAAAGTAATCCAGATACCTGATGGCAAAAATTGTCTTCAGAGTCTGATGATTTGTGACAAAGCATTTTTACAACATTTTTGTGCTGGTTTGTTGCAGAGAAAGAAGTATTCATCCTCTCTTGACATGTTCTTCAGATAACCTGAAATATTGGGAATTGTTGTGTAGGTAAAACTATTATTTGTAAAGTTGTATTATGTACTACAAAAAAAAGGTTGCATCTAACAGGACCTGATAATAATGTTATCATCACAAATCTGTTTTGATAACTCTGGATTTCTACTTTTCCCAATCCCTGGGATATGCTCAAAAGCAACAGTACAAATGATTCACTTCAGTGTCATTAATCACAGGTAAATGAGGGTCTTCTAAACTTACAGTCAAGGCAGACATTTTCCTGCAAGTTATCTGAGGGATAACTTCAATCTAGAGAGACTGAAGGTATAGAAAAAGAGGAATAGGAAATGATATCAATTAAGTCAACAGTGCTTACTAGAACTTTTCCTTGCAAAGAAAGTGAAGAAAGTGAGATACCAAAAAAAAAAAAAAAACCCAAAAAAAATTCCACCCCCAAAAAAAACAAAAAAAAAAAAAAAAAACAAAACCAAACCAAAAACCAAAAAAAAAAAAAAAAAAAAAAAAAAACCAAACCAAACCAAACCAAAAACCAAAACAAACAAACAAAGAAACAAACAAAAAAACCCCCAAAAACCAACTGGCCAAGAGTAGGGTAGGGCAAAGAACTTCTCAGTTAGCCTTCTTCCCCTGCAAGGAGTCAAGCACCTTTACACCCCTAGCTATTGGGCTGCCTGCATCTATCTAGACATTTGTCAGTGCTAGATTGTGTGAGCAAAATGCATTCTGACATCTAAGTGCTAAGAAAAAAAAAAGCCTGTGAAGGATACCTTTGTGCTTTTATATCTTATAAGAAAGGCTTTAGAGAAGCTTTAATTTGCTTCCAACCCATAAACTACACCAAATTTATTGGCTCACAGTACTCATAATCCTGTATAACCTATATTTTCTTTTTTATGATCACAGGACAAGGGTAAACTATTGTCACGTAAAATAAGCGAATGCCAAAAAAAATCAGTAACATTTTATGCCCTATATTTGCCAGATAACTTTGACCAAGAGAGAAAAAAACAAATACAATCCCACAAATAAAATTTCTTCCTGCAAAACCAATCTTCTAATTTTTTTTTCTTTTTAAAGGACCTCAAAAATCAGTTATGGATGAGACAAAATGTTTTACTGAGCTAGAATTCAGACACTTGACATTTTTCATCTGAGCAGAAAATGAGTATGGGGAAATTTGATTTAGGTTTATTTATTAATTAAGCCAAACCTTTAAGTGAACAGTTTCAGCTGAGGCTGTGTTATTGCCAGAGAACAATCTTCATATCTGTTTGATCACCAAAAAACCTAATGCTGTGTTGAGTTTTAAAAACGTGTCAGTCCCTGTATGTTTATCTTGTTAAACTGAAGCATGAATCTTAAGTGATAATGATTTTAGGTCCTGGCACCTGGAAGATGGGATTTTATTTTACTGTCTCTTGAGTAGGATAACTCTGGATTGTTCCATTGTATATTGTTTGATTTCTTACTGAATTCAATACTGCAACAACTTTATGGGTTTTATAAGAAGTGGATGCCTTCCTTAAAATCTGCTGATTCTTTGCTTGGTACCCATTTAGGCACATCTGTTATTCAGGTGACAGCCACAGATGCTGATGATGCTAACTACGGGAACAGTGCAAAAGTGGTGTACAGCATCCTCCAGGGCCAGCCATATTTCTCAGTGGATCCAGAAACAGGTTAGCAATCCATTCAGTCTCACTGGAATCAAAATAAAAGTATGGGGTTTTTCTGTTTAAATAATATTAATGCAGAAAATTTGCTTTTCTTGGTATAACTAAGATTTCCAGAAGATGATTACAAACTGTAAAAGCCAAAAGTTAAAAAAGAAAAAAGGTGTAAAGTACTGTAAAGGGTCCAAAGAATCATGAAAATTAATCACAAGCCTATTTTACAGTAGTTTCTGGGAAATTAATCTGTTTACCTTTGAAAAACATAAATAGGAGCTGGACATTATCATACTATAAGGCAAAAAAAAAAATCTCATAGGCAATTAAATATTTTTAGAAGTTTGGAATAGATCCCTGACCACTGATTCTGAATCAGTTAATTTTTAACTTAAGCTTTTTTTTTGAAGCTGCATTATGATTCCAAGAGGTATGGGAACTGAACCAAGTATCATTAATGCTTTCAAGTCGAAAAAATGAATTGAAGCCTTTTTCACTGTTATGCAAGAAATTGGATAAAAAACAAGCACAAGCTATAAAAAAAAAAAAAAAAAAAAAAAAATTTTGGATATCTATTACTCAAAATTAGTGTTCAGAAAAGAAAGTGTCACCAGAACTCTCCTCTTCCAAATATCTGATCCTAAGGCACTCAAGACTCAGTAGGCATTGCATTAGTTTTTCTTGCATATTATCAAAATTATTCTGGTTTTCTAACTGAGAATTTAAGTGCAATTCTGTCCATAATCCCTGAAATTCCTAATCCATTGAGAGTGCTCAGATGATGGCTAACTTTCTGTTGAAACAATTTGGGTTTTTTTTTCTAAATACAGCAAAGACATAATATTCAAAAGATAATTAATGACACAGCTACAATTTTAAAAGGGAGCATAAAGAAGTTGCATTGGATAAAAGTGTTTGGGTTTCCCCCCTTTTTCAATCTCTCTTTTTTTTTCTCTTTTCTCCAGTCCCCTACTCAAAGATCATTACCAGTGGTGAGCAGGGAAACAGGACCAGTACTACTCGGGCAATAACTGATGGCAGCAGGTGTTTAGGCAGGCAGACAGTAAGGGAAACACCCAAGACTCTCATCTTTAGTTCAGGGATTATTTTTCATTTTAATCCAATTTGCTGTTTTATGTTACATGTATTAGCAAGCCTAGGTATGATAATCAGAACCTGGTAATCCTGGCTCAGACATAAATGTCATAACCACTAAGCTGCAAAGGTTTTTTCTTTATTTCACTCACTTGCTAGAAGTATAAATTTTCCAGGGTTGCCTTTTTTTTTTTTTTTTGTGTGTAATATCAAACTGAGCCTATAATGAAAGCCATCTTCTGAGAAAGAAAAGGAAGTGCTGTGAATCCTTCAAGCAGAAAAGGATACTATGCTTACATTTACCACTTCACAGGAGAAAGCTCTGCTCACTCCAGCTTTGAAAAGCCACCAGTCTTCTAAATAAAAATAAAAATAAAAAGCTCTTCTTCATTTTCAAAAAGGAAGTTTAATGAAAAGTGGTGTACAGCACTTTTTTGTACAGTACAGAAAACTTTTGGTTTTCTCACCTGAGACTTTTTTTTTTTTTGTACTGCAAAAGTGTCTGACATATTCAAATTACAGTTATGAAATCCTTCAAATTGGACACCCCGAAATAATTTTTTCGAAAATAATTTTAGACTCTTGTCCAATTTTTTTCTTAGCTGCAACTCCAGCTGACTTACTGCAGACATCACTGAGCATCAAAATCAATGATCTATTACAGCCCAGAATAATGAGTACTGGGCATGTTAGAGTTCAGCCTTGTGCTACAATATCAAAATGTCACCAGGGTTGAAGATTACACAATATAGTAAATAATAACTGGGGATAGAAATTGCAAAATTTCATTAATTCAATGAACATATTGGTATTTTTGTCATTAAAAGAATAATCAAATTGATTTAGCAAAACAAAATCATTGAATAATGTCTGTTATATTTTTTTGTCTTTTTTCTCTAAAATCACATTAAATCATCCATAGACTGAAAGGTTTATTGCAGTGTACCTTGTTGTGATTGCTGTGGATTATCATCTGCACAGAGTATCTGACATGAATCCATCTAAGAGCTCTGGGATTATAATGGATGGGGCTTCTCCTTCACCACTCTATCTCTGTTTTTTTTTTTTTCACTCCTTCAAGGCATAATCAAGACTGCTTTACCAGACATGAGCAGAGAAAACAGGGAGCAATACCAAGTGGTCATCCAGGCTAAAGACATGGGAGGCCAGATGGGAGGACTATCAGGGACCACCACCGTGAACATCACACTGACTGATGTCAACGACAATCCACCTCGCTTCCCCCAGAGTATGGAGCGTCTAATAGTTCAGTTTTCCAAGAACCTCTCAAAAATCAGCTGGTTTGCTTTGGCCATCTTGAAGTTTTGTGCAAGTTTTTTTTGTTTGTTTATTTTGGTTTGGTTTTTTGGTGTTTTTGTTTTGTTTTCTTTTGGTTTTGGGTTTTTTTATCACTGTTTTTGTAGTACTTGCCCACTGCTGTGTCTGTTTATTTTGCAGCATCCCAAGGCAAATGGGAATCTCTGCCTACATTTTTTTAATATCAAATTATTTGTTGGAGTGATAAACTTCTCATTCTTACTCTGCTTACAGAAATATAAACGGTAACAATAATTTAGGCCAACTGCAGGGACTTTAGAGGAATTTAATTACAAAATATAAGGACCTGCTCTTGAAATCACTTTTAGTTTCTTGTGTTGAAGCAAGCAAATACATTGCAGGTTTTCTAATGTTCTGACTTGAACAGGCAGAGTTGATCAGGTCATTTGTTCTGCTGGCAGTCTAAGCATTTGGTTTACATGCTAGTAATTTGTGCTCAGTTCTGGAATGATTTTGATAATCTAGGCCAGTCTAACACAATAAAATAAGGTTTTTAAAAATATCTTTGTACAAGAAAAAAAAAATAGCAAACAGCAGAAGGCTGCACAACACAGAAAGCTTCAGAGTAATACCCTACAAAAGACTTTTTATCCTAGGCCAGTGTTTAAATCTAATCTCATGTTGTTACAGTCAGTGTCTGATAACTGTTTGATAGGCTGCAGATAGGAGAAATTTGCAGCCTCAGTTCAGTGCCTGCCAGAAAAGTGTCGACATAATAAAATTTGAATTGCTTGTTCACACTGATGAGAGACCTGGCTCTCTTTACAGATCCACTAAGGACTGAACAAAGAGAGCTGATTTATAAAATGCTCTCCTGGACTTGAAAAGCACTTCAGTACCATGGCAATAAGTGCAACCAGAATAGGACAAACTGTTCAACATAGTGCAGATTTTAAAAAAAATATTGGAAAATTCTGAGAGCATGGAAGAATGGATCTTTGGAATTATAAATTACTGTTTTAATCTCTATCCATGATAACACATTGTTTTAAAAGAAGAGAGGGGAGGGAAAGTACTGCAACCCTCATAAAGAAATATAATTTCAAATCCCATGCAGAGTTCACTTGATGAGAATCACCTTCACACGGTAAATTCAAACATCAATTTTTAACTGAACTTCCTGTTCGACTTCATGAGGGGATACTTCTTAAAAAGGTATAGCATGATGCAGCCTATAATATTTTGGCAAATAGGAATTCTGGAACCTAAACTATAATTTATGGTGGCACATTGCCTTGTAAGCCTCACTGTTGAATAAAATAAAATAAGATAAAAGAAAGAATGAAGAATGTATAGAACTGCAAAATATTTTAAGGTTTCCAGTCCTCTTAGCTTGTGTTCTTAATGTTGCTTTTCTTTCAAAATTAACAGAAGCCTCAAGTCTATGAAAGTTGTTTTTTTTGGGTTTTTTTTTTTTTTTTTGTGATGGATACTTTTTAGAGAAATTTACACAATTTGACATTTGAAGCTTCATACAATGTCCCCCTAGTATTCTACCTTGAACATCACTGAAACACTTTGTGTGGCCTACAGAAGGTCTGCTGTGGGATCTTCCAATGCTGCAGTTTCAGTTGTGCTGATGATTCTTCCCTCTCATTTTCTTTCTCCTCAGCAGGGTGTTTTTTAATATTTTCTAGGAAATCAGAGAAAGAGAAATATCAGGCAGATTTGATTCCTTATTAGGTAGTTATGAAGAGGGGTACACTTTCAAAAAAATACCTGTTCTGGAAGTTTGCTTGTTATGAAAATATTTATCTTCCATTTTCTCTTATGTGAATCAACTATAAGTAAAACTGTTGCCCAAAGTAGAGGGTGAACAGCAGTTGCAAGCAATGCCAGTCAATATCAAGATATGTAAGAGTCAAAAATCAATTTCTTAGTGGGACTGGAGAAAGTAAAATGGCACTGTGAAGTAGTGGTTGTTCAGTCTGCATCAAGAAGAAGCATTTTCTGTTTTGTTTAGTTTCCTATAAGTAGTTGTGCAAAATTAGAAGACATAGACCTAAATGGAATTAAACTGGTACTGCAATAAAAACATTACATATTTGAATTCTATTGTAGTCTAAACCAAATAGCCATCTCACATGCTGAAATGTGTAGCATTCACACAGCTCCACAAAAATAAGAATGCTTCCAAACAAAAAAGCACTGAAGGGTGGTATTTATCTGGAAGGAGCAATAAGTACCATGCCTGAATCTGTTCTTATGGTAGATCTGGCTCATTGGCCAAACCCTTGAATTTGTCAAGGGTTCAGGGCTTGAAACTCATGGTTTAGCTGCCAGGAATCCTACCTTTCATCCCATTTGCAGACTGGTTTGAGGGAACAATATGCATTTTAGTCTGTGGATCACAGAAAAACAGGCTGCTGCTGAGTTTTCACTTACAACCTTGAATTTGTAACAGCAATCACAATTTAGCATCAAGCATTAGCTTCCATTTTGCTACACATATATATAAATATAAGGTAATTTCAGGAACTCTCTTTTGTACTTAGTCTTTACAACTGGGGACAGAAACTCATTCTGCACTTAGAATTTTGATATATTCCTTGTCTTAAATGGATTGTCTCTGTCTCTCTGGGTGCCTCCCAGTGAACCCCGGCCAGCCCCGGGTCGGCAAACAGCGGAGGGGCAGCCCCGAAGTGACCGACAACGGGGTCATGTCAGGATCCTTTAGGTGTCTTAAAAGGGCATATAAATAGAGGAAATAGGGTTGTTGCAACAAACAGAGTTGATTGTACTTTACTACAAGACAATATCATTTATATGTGTCCACTTCAGGTCCTTTGAATAAAGGTTGTACACTTTATTAAGTGCTAATTTTGTCAGATTCTTAAGTTATTTCTCCAGTGCTACTACTTCACTTGGTAAAGTAATATGAATTTACATGAAAAAACAGATCAAAAGAAACATCAGATTCTGGCATGTGCAAAATCTGAACCCATCAGATGTGTTTGGAATTTTTTTTACTTTTTTTGGTAACAAATAACAGAAAATACTGAATTTGAAATTTGTTTTGTCTTGCTAGTGAGGAAATACCTTCTATGTCTGCTTCTTGCTGGTGAAGAAATCCATCTGATTAATAGTTTTTCTGCTACAGCATGGCTTTAAAATTAGAATTTTTTAAAAAAAAATGTTGTCAGAAAATATGTATGAATTCTCTTTTCATACACACAAGCAAGAGTAAAGGGTCTGTGTAATCAGATTTCTTTCTAGAAGACCCTGATTATAAAAATAGCAATACCAATTATCATGAAGATATGCCCTTTACCATGACTCTTTAGCATGTATTAGCAATAACAGATAAATTTATTATTTTCAAACAGAACACTTACTGGGATATATTTAAAAGTAATTAAAAGAAAAGGCTATTCAATTTTAGTGTCTTTCCAAAATCCTCACTTATTTCTACAACTCTTGTTTGAGAACAACTTTAAGAGAAAAAACAAAATTATTTCCTATTTCTAAATATATCTAGGAGGATTTCTACAGGAAAAAAAACGATATATACTGCTAATAATCAGAGTAAGAACTGGTATCTTACTATTTGGCACCTTCTTTGTCTCTTAAAACTGAAGAAAAAAACAAAGAAGAAACGCAGTGTTATATGGCTCTGAAGAATAACTTGAATTTTTTTGACAGTTTCTCAATCAACTCCAAATCCTTTTTTAAAGTTTAGTGTGATGACTAGCAGCATTTTTCTTACAGTGTTTAGAACTTCTAGTTACTTTTAAAAATCTAGGTGAAATTGAAATAATTTTTATTCAGAAAAAAAAATGTTTCTCAAAACAATAAATGTTTGATTTTGCTTTTCTAGGCTCCTACCAGTTCAGCTCTCCTGAATCTGCACCACCTGGGACTCCTCTTGGCAGAATTAAAGCCAATGACCCCGATGTGGGAGAAAATGCAGAGATTGAGTATAGCATCTCCAATGGGGATGGATCAGACATGTTTGATATCATCACTGACAAGGACACACAGGAAGGGATTATAACTGTCAAAAAGGTTTACTTTTTCTCCCTCTCTTTTATATGTACTTAGCTCTTCAGGTGTTACGGTTATTTTTCTTTTTCCAGGGGAAGGGAGGGTAGATCTCACAAGAGGTCAGGCTGCCAAGGAGCTGTTGTATTAGTTTTGTTCTTCTCTTTCTTCAGCAGGTATCTGTTATTTTCAAGTCTCAAGGGAAATTTACTGGCATGTCACTTCACATAAAGCAATATTTCAGGGGCTGCTGTCTGTTCAATATATAGACTCTCACACACAGTACTTTCAAATTAGGGCTGTGAAAACTTGGAGAGGTTCAGTTCACAGTAGGGTTTATCAGCTGATTGCTGTGCTAAGACTTACAAGAGTGGTAGGCTTACCTGGAGCTTGATGAATTTGCACGTCCAAGACTAAACTCTCCCTTCTCTAATCTGTTCAATAGCAAGTTATCTCCAGTACCTAAAATCTGTCTTGGTTTAAGTCCAGTCTTGGTGATATTTCACTTGTTACATATGATGTCAGTGAAACTCCAAAGAGCAAAGGCATTCACAGAAATTTAATTCAAAGTACCATGTCTGACAAATTTATTGGTTGCTTTTCAGAATTCAGCCTCTTAAACTCTGAACACTTTGTTTGATTTTAGTGTTATTAAATATGTCAGTAACATTAATTGATAACTACCTGTAAATAAAATTTGCCAATCTATAAACATATTGGGAAACACATATACTTCTTTATGCATATGTATCTATGAAGGTCTACCTACATATACATATATGGATATGCATGATGTGTCACATGGATTGAAAATTAAACTTCACAGATTTTCTTTTTACTCAGGAACACAGAGACCAGGGACAACTCTGGTTTGTTCCTAGTGCCAAACAGGCACAGGTAGATGGTAATGGGTAAAAGAAAATAAAGAAAAGATAAATAGGACAGAGATAGTTTAAGAACTGGAATAATTGCTCTTTTTATTGCCAATGAGATGAGACAAATAAGACTTTACACAAGTCCTTGCTGTGGACTGGGTAAAACTTCCATTTTTCTATCTTTTTATTTTTATATAAGTCAAAGCCTCTTGGTTTTTTTCAGGTACCTGAACAATTAATAGGCAGAGGGATCATAACTGCCTTGTTATCCTATAATAATCCTTAATTTTAATGTCTAGAATAAGATCTCATATACTCCATCTTCTCCAAGATGGATTAAAATTTTGAGCTTTTGCTCCTAAAAATGTTTCATCTTTTGATTCAGACTGTAAAACTTACTCACATTTTTTTTGTAAAGTGATGTAATTTTCTTTATTATTATTATTCTTATTTGCTCCTCAGCATCTGGATTTTGAAAACAAGGTGTTATATACCCTAAAAGTAGAAGCAAGCAACACTCATCCTGATCCTCGTTTTCTTCAGCTGGGGCCATTCAAAGACACGGCTTTTGTCAAAATTTCTGTTGAAGACATTGATGAACCTCCAGTGTTCAGCAGACCCTGGTATTTAATAGAGGTAGATGAAGATGCCAAGGAAGGAAGCATTATTGGGCAGGTTGTAGCCCAAGATCCAGATATAGCAAAGAATGCAATAAAGTAAGCCATTATACAATATAAAATTCTTTATATGTTGGTCAACAGAGAATGATGAGATTGCAAAGTAGAAAGAGGCTGTTTGGGTAATTAAGCACATGGGGGCTCTCAGAAAGTGTCCAAGAGAAAGATCTTTGTGAGTTTGTGAAGGCAAATACAATTAGCACCATAAGAGGTTCAGAGAACGCTTTTTGAGAGCATTCTACAGGAACCAGGTAAAAGAAAGGAGATGTCAGCATTTAATTGCCAGCATGTTCTAGTAGTTGCACCAAGCTGTTCATAAAATTATTCTTTTATACTATTTAAAACATTCAAAATTTTGTATTTCTGTGCTCCCTGATGCTTGATAAGTCACACTTCTGTACATAACATCCGTGTTCCATAACTTAACTATTTAATGATCACAGTATATTGAATAAGAAATGACTGCAAGAAAGTAATAACAATTAGAAGTAAGAGTTCAGTGCTGTGAAATTGCTGTAATTGTTACCAAACTGCTATTATTATCTGCAGTGACAAATACAACACTTAAATTTGTCTACTTACCATGCAAACGATTATGAAAATTGATCTCTGCATTTCTGAACAAGCTTTCTGTCCTACAGCAGTATGTGTTGAGGTAGGAGGTGTGAGAGGAGGAGGAAAATAAAGTATTTTCTAAGTAAAATATGTATAAAATCTCAATTTAACCTGATAATGACTGCCAGCTACTAGGCTGATTAAAAAAACAGCTGTAAACCAAGTTTTACCTCACTGGGTAACAACAAAGCAAAGGCAAGTATCACAAAGCAAGATTTAAGAAGTTTCATCTCAAAGAACAAGCAATTGAAAGATTCTTCCCCTCAAGTTTTGTGGTCCTTGTTACACCTCAAAACTAGATATTTTAAACTGATACTTCCTTGTGTCTGCAATATGTATCCCTTGGTGACAGAGTTCTCTAACAAACAATTAGTTTGCGAAAAATCTTATCTAAAAAAGTTCACTTTTAATTATTATTCCAAAATTCACATTATGAGCTAAAATGTAATTTCAGTTATCAATCTAAAAACCACCCACATAATAATTTGCTCTTCATACTCCTCACTAGTCTTAAATTGTTTCTAATATTTATAGCATGCAGGTAGTTATGGGAAAGCTTAGGTCAATTGTAAAGAAAACATTCTTGATTAAGCACAGTTAAAATTGGAAAACTTTTAGAGGTGGCTGTGAGCTAAACTGGAGACTGCTTCGGGAGATCGTGATGCTCAGTTTTACTGTATCTTGACAGATATTCTGTAGATCGACACACTGACCTTGACAGAATATTCAACATCTATTCAGGAAATGGATCCTTATTCCTCTCAAAGCCACTTGACCGAGAAGAAACTCCCTGGCACAACATCACTGTCATAGCAACTGAAATCAGTAAGATGAAGATAAAATTTATCTCAGAGGAATATTTGAACTGTGAAAATAATTAAATTCTACACCTTCTATGACTTAGCTTGTTTCATTAGTTTTACGCTTATCCAGATATTATTGATAGACAAGACATCTTTAAACACACATAGAAAAGTCCAATTTATTATTTTAAGGCATGTTTTGCCAATTTTTACAAAGATATTTAGGAACTCTCAGGCTCAACAACACCATGTACAATATACATTAGGTAAGTTAACCAATTCCTTGAGAATTCACATCAAATAATTTGGTGCAGGTGTGATGGACTGGCTCTATCCCAAGCTAAGTCTCCGGGAAAATCCTTGGGGTAAGAGGAGAAAAAATGTCCCTGGCATACAAATACATTGTCAGAATAACCTCTGTAAATGAGAAAAAATTATGCTTTATCCCAAGTGATTTAACTTATCTCAGAAAATGGCTTTGATTGAAGTCAAGACTTGGGAAATTTTTTGCCCTCCGTATCTGAAGTAAACCCTGGGCTTAATCTTTCACCTGGATTCTTTACTATTCTGTTAGATACTTTCAGGCTGAATCCGTCCTGCCTACCTTTTTTTTTGAAGCAAAATCATCCAAGGGGTGATGTAGTTTTTTTGGGGAGGGGGGCACCCCGTGGTGCCCCGGAGGGCCCCCTAGGCTGTGAGTTGGCTGGCAGCAGCGGGCAGGCAAGGAGACTCCACATGGCTTCTGAGGGTGCTGATTAGATGAGGGTTTATTGCGGGTCCCATCCCCGGGAGAAGCATGGTGGTTATCAAGAGGGAAAGGGGAGGGGAGAGGGAGAGCCTAGGGTAGGGACAAGAGGGGAGGAAAAGGGGCTAAGAGAGGAGAAAGGCTAAGAGAGCGACTGGTCTGGCTTGCAAGGTTTAAGAGGGAGATTGAAGTGGGCGCGGAATCAGACTTGGGCCAATGGGATTACAGGTCATGATGGTCATGGCAGGACCACAGGCTTAGAATATACCATACATTTTGGAGGGGTGAGACAGAGCATACCATTTAAATAAAATGCAATACCACAAAGGGGGAAACAGACTGATTTTAGTGAAAAATTTTTCTGCCTTCCTTTATTCTCCTATAGATTCCCCTGGAGTCAATATGCTTAAGAGTCTGAGAGTTGGGTAATATGGAGAGATTAATCATATCACCATTTTCAGAAAGATTTATATCTTTTACCTTTTCCTCTTAAATTATTTTCATTGTTTGGGCAAACATGTTCTACATTTTCAATATGCATAGTGTGAGAATCCTTTCTGGCAATACCTTGAGTTGGGAGGTTTTTGAAGATTGATTGATGACCATATCCTGGATAAATAATTTTATTATTTTGGTTTTTACAGTTATGGGAGGAAGGACAACTTTGGTTTGGGTTTTTCATGGTTTTGTGTTTGCGTGTGCTTTTGGTGGTGGTGTTGTTCACTGAAACTTTTACTGCTTTATTGATTTGAAAAGTAAATGTTCTTAACAGCTCAGTCTCATGGAACAACTTTTGCAACAAATTATTTGCTGAACTCCTGTAAAGAATACAACTCCATAACAATGGAGTGACCTGTTTTTAATAAATCAATTTAAGCATACTTTATATTATAAATACATACATATATATAGAAAATAGTAGAAAAACTTGTTTCAATTATAAATAGGACTTTCATGTATATGTAATATATGTCATCAGAAAATTAAATGTATTGTTTTAGTAAATTAAGAAAATTGAAAATTTCTGGTCTATATTGGAAAAAAAAAGTATTGAATTATTTTCATATACATATCTGTTTGTATTGTAATATATATATTTTTTTTTCAGATAATCCTAAACAAAGTAGCCAGATACCTGTCTTCATACGGATTTTAGACATAAATGATCATGCACCAGAGTTTGCCAACTACTATGAAACATTTGTTTGTGAAAATGCAAAAGCAGGACAGGTAAACAATACTTATATTACAAAGAACTTATAAGGAAACTATCCTGCAGTGCCATCATGAAGACTTCAACATATTGGTTTGAACAGCAGTAGACTAACCCAGCCTCTTCATTTCCTATCTTCTGCAAAAAAAGTTGATTCAAAAAAGAACATAGAAGATAAAGAATAATATCCTAATACAATAGCATAGGATATGCTATTGTATTAGAATATTATAAAAACATAAAAAATGTTTTTATACATAAAAAACGGTACTTTAAGGTGGTTTTTAATTTCTAATATCAGAAAATATTTTTCCAACATAGTTTTGCATAATGATGCAAAATGTTTTATATTGTACAATAATTTTATTTATTTATGGATTTTTATAATTGGCTTAGTTAATGTAGCAACACCTTCAAGTACATGAAGCAGGAAAATCTTTATTATGTCTCAGTTAAGATGATGTGTAAACCAAACTTTTTCAAAAATAAAGGACAATGCAACTTTCTATTGTAGGTTAAAACTAGGTCTGCTATTGAGTCGAGTCTGGTCAAAGGTAATATATACTCCTTTCTAAACTACCTCAGAATTCTGTAAAATTCTAAGAGAAAGAGACAAGAAAAAAACTGAAGATAAAACAAAGTGATAATTTGGATTTGAGTAAGTAGACAAACAAGAGAATTCAGACCCAGCAAATTATGAAAATGTCTTAATATTCCTGCCATTACATCATCTATTTATGCTAATGCCAGTCAGTCCTTAAGTTTTAAATCCTGTGAAGATTGTTTTCTGAAAGTATTTACAAAGGAACTGGATTTAGCAGCAGATAGGGTACTTTAAGATTATCTCTCCAAAATGGCTCATGCATGAGCCTCTTCTCCAGACTGATTAATTTTTTGGAGGAAAAAAGGTTGAGATCATTATTTTCACTAGCACAAGCATGTGTGGGTCCTAGTCTAGGAGAGACAAGCCAGGATGAAGCCCTAAGAACAGCTTAGGTCTATCCTCATGTCTCAGTAGCTTTAGACTGTCATCATCCAGACAAAACTGTCTGGTTTCATGAAAAATATGTGGAAAGGATCAGAATGTACAATATTTTGCTTTTCTTTAGAGCACAGTGACCACGTACTCTTCAAAGACTTTACGAAGATGAGTAATATGGATACACATCAGGAATCATGCTCATGTTTTACCTGATTTTCTGCCAGTGTTTACTTAAATCACAGAGGCTTCACTGAAGGTAGCATAGATGGTACCTGAGATGAGTTTAGCTTTTCAGGTATTGCAGAATTCTATGCAGAGCAAGAACATATGCTCTTGCTCAATTGAGATCCAATTCAAGTGATGTTTTATGAATTGTTTAACAGATAGAAAAAGAAAAAAAAAAGGAGAAAAAGATGATATAATAGATTGTAGGGAGACTGCATAAGATTCTATTTATTTTTCATTTGTTAAACATAATATCAGAATTCAGGCAAAATGGGTTAACGGAAGAGGATGCTTTGATTAAAAAATTATGTCCCTTTGAAGAGGTATTTGACAATTTTTTCATTCTTTTTTTAAAAAATGTTTTACTATTTTTCATGTAAATTATATAAATAGATGAATATACACATCAAAGGAAGTGATGAATTAAATTAAAACAGTAGAAGGAATTATCATACCAGAAAAAATGAAAAAAGTGCTTTTCACAACAACTAAGGTTTATAATCACATCATCCTGTCTTAACCAGTGACATAAATTGCCACATAAGAATACAGTTCAAGTCTTACAGAAAGTACAAAAATTCTCCCAGCTTTTGGCTATTAGACCCATAGAGTTTTACTTTATGTCTTTTCAGCTGCTTTTTTTCATGCTGAATGCATTCAGATAATTCTAGCCATTAAGTTCAAACAGCTGCTGTAGAACCTAAATTCTGTTAGTGCAACGATATCTCATTACACAAGACAAAATTGAGGTAAATAAATCTTAAAATCTCAGTGTGATGACTGGTAGAAAAGTGAATAATGTATTTTATTTGCATAACACAAAGAAATGTTCAAAAGCTTAGAAATTAAGATCTAATTGAAATTAATCTTGTGCAATTTTGCCAACCAGCAAACACAGTATTTGTCATATATTTGAAGAAGTTCAGTCCAGGCATACTGGCTGTCAATTTCCTTAATCCAATTTCCATCTAGTCTAGCATACTTGGTGAAATATCCATGAATGTATGAAGTATCATTTATCTTTCTGGTAAATTCTGTGCTTACCTAATAACATATATGACAGAGACTCATTAGATAGGTATGCATGTTGTTTACCAGATCTCCCACACATCTAATTTACCAGTGTAATTTCAGCAATTATTTTCCCTCATTGGAAAATCCCACAAAGATACTAGAAATAGAGTGTGCAGCAAGTATAGCTACAGAAAAATGGAGATCCATTTTGGTTTTCTGTTTGTTAACAGCTGAGGTCTTCAAGAGAGGCACCTGAGTTCGTATCTGGACATTTATGTGTAATTGACTTAGTATTTCAGAAAAGAGACTACCTTCGATACATGACAACACTTTTATTTTGGTGCTTAATATAGCAATGAATATAGAAATATGAACCTGAATGTTTTGGCCAAGGGTGCTAAGTTCCAGAGAACCTGTATTTCTCATGTCTAGCAGTCCCTGTATAATATAAGAGAAATAGAAATGTGTTCATTTACTACTATTCTAACCTATTTTAGAGATAGCCTAAATAAGCTTTTTCATTATAATCATTATTGCTTCTTTACACATTACAGCACTGCTTCTGCATCTGGTACCATAACAAAAGAATCAGACTGAGAAGATAAATATATTTAGTTTGTTGTTTTTTTGGGTTTTTGGTTTGTTTTTTTTAACTGAGACCAGTTATTAGTCACACTGCTCTCTAAGTCTCAGGTGCATCAAGAAGCATCAGAATGATCAAATATTGTTCTCTGCCACCATTTCTCATTCTCAGCATCAATAGATATTAGAGGCTTCACTCGTGGTTTTCAGATAGCCTTCGGAGGGTCAGAGGAAAGAAAATTCTACAGAGTTTCTCCTACTCTTTTGTCTCCAGGCAACAATGGGGAGAAACCCTATCACAAAGACTTAATAAAAATTTATGCTCATTAGGCTGAAACACATTTGTCACCACAAGACTCTTATTCCATTGGCTAGTACACAGGCTAAAGAAAAGCAGGGAGCAGACTTCCTCTTGTGCAATTTAAAAACCCCTAATCCTGAAGCCCCAGGGACTGTTGTGGGGAAGGCTTTGGTACAAGCTCTCTCATGCCCTTGTCACAGGAATTAATTGGGTCTTTTTAGCTGGATTAGAGGACGAGTACTCTCCATGGAAACAAGGAAGATATACATGAGAAGGAGACTGATTTAGCTGAAAAACTTGTTGGTAAAAATTTAGCTCCATATTTTATTGCATAGTTTATTGTTGGCAAAAATTTATCTAATTTCAACATCCATCAAGAAGACAACCTGGGTCACTATTTTTCCCCTCTGAGGCAATATTCTTTCCTGCCATTCACAGGCTTTCAGATATCAGAATGTAGAAAGTTTGTTTTCTCCTTCAGAGACCTGGCTGATTTTTCTTTTCACTACTCTCCACACCCTCCCTCTCTTTTTAAAATAGAGCAGAGGGAGATCACTTTTTCTCAAGAGTGAATTGCTAATTATCAGTCATGACTTTATATACGTTGTAGCTGCTTCACTAGGTAGACACTTTTTGGGTTATTTCAGTGACAGACCCATGCTAACAGTCTGTCTTTTTAAGTAAGAATTGAAGTAAGAGTTTTCCAACTTTTGATAAGCATTGAGTCCTGCATAAAACTGCCAACACATTTGTGGAACAGAGCCAAGATCAGGAAACCAAACTGCTTTGCATTACTGAATGTGAAGTTTTGTTAAGTGGCAGGCATCTCTTCAAGCTTGCTCATGCATGATGGAGGCTGTTTTCTGCAGCTAGCACCTTACAGGGGTATAGCCTAGAAATGTGTCTAAGGTTAATAAAAATCTATGTGTAAAAATCTATGTGATCACTCAGGCTGCATAATGACAAGATGGGCATCCACTGACAGCTGAATTGATTTTGAAGCACTCCTATGGGCCATATCATCACATCTTTCACATAACCTTCATTCTACATATTTATGCTTGCTGTTAGTAATATATTCAAGGTTAGTTAGTCATTGACCCTACCAGATCATACAGGCAGGAAAAGAGGCAAGATGAAGAAAGGATAGGCGAAAAAAAGCTAGTTTTCCATCATTTCCCTGTAACATTTGCACACATTGTTCTCATGATTGCCATTCATAGCTTCTCTCGCATGATTTTTTCTGCATAGTTTATTGCAGACAAAGTGGTGAGGTCTTTTCAGATTCCTAGAGAAACACTTGCAGCACCAAACAAGTTCAATAAGTTTCAAAAAAGTCAGTGATTTGAGATCCAGAATTTCTGTTCTCTTCTATATCACTTGTTAAAAAATGTTAGACAAAAATAAACACTAACATTTCCTAGACATTTCTTTCTCAAGTGCTTAGAGATACTTTAAAGTATATTTCTCTGTTGTACAACAACCAGGTTTAACTAAGAGCATGATTCAACTAAAAATAAAAGCCCAAATGCTTCAAGTGGACTAAAAGCCTCCTTCTCTCTTGTGTTACATACAGAAACAAAAAAAAATTCAGTATTTGTTAGTGTCTCTACCTTAACAATAGCTTTCTCTAGTGGTGTTTGTGACTGGAAGTACAATTTTTATGGTATATGTTAATCTTGTTGTATTTAACAATTATTATTTTAATTATTATTAGTTATTTCTGATTTCCTTCAGAAAGGAGATCTACAACACTGACCATCTTCAAATTTATGTGAAAGTGACATTATTTTTCACCATATATAGTGAATTTTGAAAGAAGGAATTTTGAAAAAAGAAACAGGTGTAGAAATAAAACAACAACCACCAATGCACTACAGTTTTGAAAAGAAGTAGCAGCAAAATTCTTTGCA